CACACATACCCGCCTTCTTTGGAATGCTTCCTATTTTAGCTCTTTTGCATCCTTAGGGCAACCTACCCATCATGAAAGAGGTAGTTGAGCCTCTCCCTCTTTTTGCAGCCATAACACTCAATTCCATCTGATTGGCCCAATTTTCATCCTCAAATTGATAGTATGAGGCCAGGACCTACCTCACTATGCTGCTCATCCCCAGTAGACGCTAGTTAATTGGGCTCTCGACTTTGGAAGCCAGGGATAGGCGAAGCCTGATGACACTTGTTGGGTCTTGAAGGTTAGCGATATCGTGACCATCATTTTGACGCTCACCGCAGGCGCTGATGGTATCTCGAGCTGACCATATCTGTATGCAGCAAGCTCATAAGAACTTCAATACACACCAAATACATACAAATATTTGCTGAGTTCGATGAGAAATCACTACAGTACATATCTGTATAAAAGAACCGCATGCACTTCACGTGAATTTTCACGTCGGGGTAGATTGAGGTGAAAGATATGTCGGCACTATAACTTTGAGAAAAACCCTTATGTGAACAATTTCAAATTGCTCACAACACAAATTGTCAATTTGTGTTATTCACGACACCCTTGGGGAAACCAGTTCCATGAATGACCTGAACTATTTTGTGTGAAAGTTGTTAAGTTGAGTATCTTATGTTCTCGTATGGAAGATACGAAGGAGGTTAAGTTGACTCCCACTTGCCGACACAAGAACATCTTCAGCAATATCACATCACAGGGAATTCACATGGAATATATGAATGAAGACTACTTGAACATACTCAATAACATCATCACATGAATAGATAGATTAGATTATGTCTATTGCACTCAAAAAAGTTTAATACGCTTCTCGCCTCTATCCGAAAACTGTGCTAGTAGGATAACATATTCCCTCTCTTCAATTCTCAAGATGTAGAAGGTTCCTTTAAAGTTGCCAACAGGGCTGGTCAATAGATAACCATCAACCTCCAGTTCTACATGGTGTGTCGAACCATGTGATCTTTCTCTAGCCAAGAGGAAGACCTTCTTATCTCCTTCACGTGGGTCTCTCAGTAGGACTTTAATTGTTTTATCAGTATCACCATATAACGATACATTCCGAACCGACTTGTCTTCAGGCAAAAGTGGTTGAACTCGAGTGAGATCAAGGCTTAGTTCAGATGGTGGATTCTCGTCAACTAGAACGACCTTCACTAAATCCCTCTCTCTATCTTGCGTGAGCGTGTGGGGTCCGGTGGGCCAAAGGTGTTCACGATAAGTAAAACTGTTCTTAAGGGTAAAGGTGCTGGGTCGGGTTGTATGCATAAAACTGCCTTTGACCCTTTGAACAGCGTAAGATTCTATAGAGGGACGCTCTTGAATCATAGACTCGAAGCCAGATATGAGGTGCATCTGAATGAGATACAAATTAGGTTATAAACATGATGACTTTCGAAATCACCTGTCGACCGAGTTCAGTTGTTTTACTCCAACACAGGATCTCGTCCTCAAATTGTCTCTTGACAAAACCGCCCTCTTCAGGGTTTTGCTCGCACATTAAGTACTCGAAAAGAGTGTTCTTGTTGGCCTCGACAATGAGCGGTAGAACACTGGTGACCGATACGAAGGTGTTGAAGAATTTCATTGGACTCGAATGAAGAGATATTATGGGAGCTGAATGAACGACGACACGTGACATTCCTTCACTTCACATAGCCCACACGTCATTCACTGTCAGTTTGAAACTGAGCTAAGGTTTTACACTTGCGGCATCGATTGAGGTACAAGTACCATACAAAAAGACATACGTTCCCTTCAGTTTATTTACTTCTCTTACCGACTTTCATAAGTAAATTTCCCTGTAAGAATACGCAACCGTTTCAAAAGTAATCGCCACTGTGCGACCAAACATAATGATGACAACTTCAGAAGCTATATTCGGTGAGACGATACATTCTCGTGGTTGAGCATCCCAAACTTTGACAGAAATCTAGTCATAAGTGGACGGCTATTCTGCAGGTTTTGTTGTCGACTTTCACAAAAAAGAGACTCTATTGATGGAGCTGAGAACAAAGCTAGGCTCTATGAAGTACAGTCAATTACTGTAATTCATAATATCACTGTACTTCATTGTCAGTTATATTGATAAGTCCTGCGCTGAGGTGCGTAAGGTCTACGCAATGCTGGTTAGTCTATTTGCGGCTGACAAGCTGTGATGGTTGACACAATTGTTGACATTGTCAACAATTTGTTGTCTACTTTCGTTCTCATTGATCATTAGCTATGCGCTGTTTATCTGTGCTGTCCGTTTAGTCTGTTGCTATAAGCTACAACACTTTGTCTTGTGTTCTGAGTATTACACAACCAGTACGAGATCCGAGGCTTCGTGGAACTTGGAGGCTTCTTGAACACGGTGGGAGCCATGGTAGCGAGATTACCAGCAAGGTCGAGCGCCTGCTCTTACTTCGGAAATTAACAATACAGCTCATCTGCAGTCCTATACCCTGGATTGGCCTTTCGTACTTCCTTGAAGGAAGTTCCTGTCGATGGTGCCGAAGCGCCTATTCTGGGAGCGTTGAATCGTTTAGAATGACAAGAAGTCGCCGCTCTAGATTTGACAAATAAAGGGTTGAGTGCCAGTTCGGAGGTTGCAGCCAGTCCAGGCAAGGGGACTCTCTGTCTCCTAACATTCCGATCCACGGTATGTTCTCGTCACTCCGGGTGACGTGACGCCATTGGTGACGTTACGTGCGCTCGTTGCCGCCCACAACCTATTCGATTATGCCGCTCCATTTGATCGCTTTGTTGCTCATCTCATTTTCAGTTCTTATCTCTCGTACACTTGTCTAGCTAGTTTCTATCTTTGTTGATTCTAACAATGTTAAAGAACTCTAAATTTGAACTGGTGGAGTAGGGGTATGAAGACAGCTTGTCAATCGTCTGACTTTAGGTTGGACAAAGCTTGAATAGACACTCTCCCTGCACTGAAAAGATTCTGCCCTTCTTATGTTCTTCACTGTTCAACGCAACATAAGATGTGTAGCGGATCTACACCAGAACTTGGGCCTGCGTGTGAAAATGTCACGCATGCGCAAATGTGCGTCTGCGTCTGCGTTTTCACGTGCCGGGCGCGCGTGAAACGAAGGGTATACAGAATTAAAAAACTTCGCTATAACCAGTGTCAATTCCATTTGAGGGCAGAGATACTGAACCCAAGAGCTGCCATAGCTTCGTCTTTTCTGCACATAACAGCTCCATGTCAAAGTGCTCTACCCTCTTCTGGACTCTCTTCGGCATCACTATCAGCTTTGGTGTGAGCACTGGTAGTCGCACGCTGCTAAGGATATCTCACCGTGGAGTCCCACTCGACATTCGTCATGTGCCAAGAATGATGGCACAGGCTCTCGCGGCCTCTGACGGAACGGTACAATCTCTCAGTCAAGATGATCTTGATTGTGAACGATGCTTCGCACAAGATGATATGGTCTATGACTTGAAGGCATTGGGGGTACAAATTATAGACTCCAGTTGTCCGGCTGGTCAAAATCAAATTCTGAACTACTTGAGGAAAGCAGAACATATGTTGAGCATCGACTTCGATTGCGATCCCGACTCGACGGTCTCTCTGCATCCGACTTTCACCACGGACAGGACCTCGTGCACTGGTGGCAATCCTGCTCTCGGCACAAACGACCCAGGTTCTTCATGCCAGCGTAACCTCGAGGTTATCAATTTAGGCGCTGCTTTTGAAGCGGTTCGCTCAGCCGGACGGGAGCTGAAGGATGTTGTGTTGGCTATCATCGACACTGGTGTTGACATGACTCATCCTGATCTGGTCACTCAGTTCTGGAGGAATCATCACAATAATATCGGCTACAACTTCCTATTCAACAATACTAATGTAACTGATGACCATGGTCACGGTACTCACTGTGCTGGTATCGCTGCAGCTCAGACTAACAATTGCATTGGCATCGCAGGGGTGACAAATATAGATGGGTCTGCGCCAAAAGTCAAGCTGATGATACTCAAGTTCATTAATGCGTCCGGGATTGGCTATCAGAGTGATTCACTGAGAGCCCTCGACTTCGCGATTGAAAAGGGTGCAGCATTCTCCTCTCATTCCTACCGATGGCCTAATAGGAGTGAGATTTTTGAGACCGCATACAAGAACGCCGCTGCTGCTGGGCATTTGGCCTTTTTTGGGGCTGGAAACGAGGAGGTCAATTTGGATGATGCACCGGTGTATCCGTGCTCCTACGCTGAAGAAACGTCAATGGTCTGTGTGGCCGCCAGTACCTCCGATCCAACCAAGACTATCTGGCTCGCCTCTTTCTCGAATGCTGGTTCTGTTACGAAGGTTGCCGCACCCGGTAGTGCTATTTATTCAACTATGCCAGACGGGCAGTATGATTTTATGACTGGTACATCGATGTCGACTCCTACGGTTGCCGGTGTGGCGGCTTTGCTGGGTACGCTCGGTCTAGATAGTCAAAAAATAGTGGACACTATTATGAAGTCTCGGACCGAAGATTTACAGAATAAGTTCGGGCTATCTGATATCGGGTTAATAAATGCCTACAAAGCAGTCCAAATAGCTCTGAGCTCGCCGGCTACACGCTATTGATGCTCCATCAGTCTGTGCGGCATAGAGCGTCACCTTCCTGTAAATGGATACAGACTTTCTCCTTGTACTTGCATACAAGGGTGTAAGTATAGGGTACATTCTGTACTATTGATTTTGAGCATTGAGCGCTACTAGTTCGTAAGTTCGTAGCCATCTTGGCTCTAGGGTCAAGTGTACGTCTGGGTCGCATCTTTCCAGCTAATGTCGGGTCGTGTTGACAGTGTCAACTTGACACAGGAGAACGACAGGAGGCACCGGGCATCAACATAGTGGC